AAATGCAAATGACTACAAAAGTTCTCAAGAGAGTGAATTCAAAATTTTTCCACTGCACAGGGTCACTTGCTATCCGAAGCGAGGCTGCTCAACTTTTCCTAACACCCCCTTCCCCCCAATAGTTAACTTGGGTCCCTGGAGATACTATCCCGGCGTGTCTTATCTTCTATCTATGACTGTACATGAAAGCTTTTTTTTTAATATTTTCATTCAACAGTCAATATTATCTTCAGACAACTGGTGTTGCATTGTGTAGTAAATTTGGCCCAAGCAATGCCTGCCTTTTCGTTGGCCACCAAGAACACGTTATCTACGAGTCCTATACTTGCCATTTTCCTTGCCTTACGAAAGATACATCGATGACATTTGCTAAGGAGATCCATTTAATTAATCAAACGTAGCAAGTTTGCCTAAGTGTTAAGATTTTCTAAATGGACTTTATTAACTTTTCCAAAACGGAAAGTCTCCAAACAGACCCGAGTAGATCAAATTGATCTCTCTCACCAAAAATGACAATACGAAAATGCATTAGTAGAAATAACACGTCGAAAAGTCACAATACATGCATTAATCGCTTTGATACTCGTGAAGATGTTCAAGTTTATTCATGTTAGTTTCATGTAAATGTGACGCTTTTATGTATATATTTGATTGCTACACACGCAGTCTCCTCTTTGGCTACTCAACAAAATGGTGCCATGATCAGGATTTATATTGTCCGTCAACGTTTTGTTCGATATTTGCCTCCTTTAAAGTTTTCACGCATTCATCACGAAATGCCAAAATCAGAGTTAGAAAAGTTGAAGCAGGATTCGCCGTTCTTTCACGAAGATCCATGGTGAAGCTTGATCCAACTATATCAAACCCAACTTTGGAGATCCTGATGACATCGCATACACGCGTCGTCGTCGATTAGTTCTCTACAATAATATTACGGATTGTTTCTCCACGAAACACATTTATTTCACGACAAAGTCAACTGTACCGCTTGCAGTACCGTTATTTTTGGTGATGTCGTTGATACTGGTTGCAGACACAGAAACATCTAGATATCGGTGGCAACTGGGTGATGTCACAGAACACATTCTCGGCACGTGTAGAGTTGCCGTGGTGCGCACGTCGAAGGGATGTACCACTCGATCCATCGTCAACTTCTATTCACTAGAAGTGCACGCTGGTAAGAGTTTGGTTTAGAAAACAGCACAAAGATTGACGAAGGACGTTCAAATGAAAATTCCCGTCCGCAACGCAAGGCAGCTTTCGTAGCGAGAGACGCTATTCACTCCCAGCTAATAGACACCTCTCTAAATTAGCTTTTCGCCGGGCCTCCAGTATGCTAAATAGAATCACATGACTAACAATAACATGACATACATCAATCGCTTTGATACTCGTACGTAACGACTTTTAAGATTATCTATGTTAGTTTCGTGAAAATGCTTTGATCCTGTATATTTGATTGCTAAACACACAGTTTTTCTTTGGCTACTAAAAAAATGTCTAAGTTAGTAGAGTGATGTCTACCGCAGCGTCGACGACAATGAATGAACGGCCACTGCTTTACGTACTTATTCTTCGTAAATAAAAAGAATGGTTGAGATGTTCAATTCCGATCTCAAGTTAAGCTATTCTGTGCCAAAGTATCCTTACACATGCATGGAAATAGAGTTTCAAATCTATTTGGAATTCTAGGAAAATGATTCTACGTGATCAAATTTGTGTTAGGAACAGACAGACTTGGCACGGGAAATACCATCCTCATTCAAGTTCTCATTCTCATTACAGACCAACTCAAGTGAAGCTAATGTGAACTTTTCGTATTCGCAAAATTTTTATGTACACAAAATTATTAGGGATGCATATGCGAATTTGAGTAAACCCTGAAAAGTACAACGCAAATTCAGATTTATCTGAGGTGATGAATTAAGATTTAGATTGTCTTGTAGTCGCTGAAAATGATAGTGAAAAAGAGCCAGTAACTGTGTCAGTTCGAAAGTTATTTACTCGAAACCACGGTGTCAAAACCATCAGTAATAATTAAGACTGATAAAGACGAATGAGTGCACAGCTCCACACAGTGCCGTCGGAACGAAATTCATATCGGGGGGGGGGGGGGCTGCCCATTGTATTCCTTCTCATTTAGTACACTGTTATAAAGGAAATCTACTACAGTGTGACAAATATTGGGGGGCTCCAGCCCTCCCAGCCCCCCGGTTCCGACGGGCCTGCCACACAAGTAGCAAAGGGACTAAGCACCATGCGCAAGTACCATACCCAGTTGTTTAATTCTTTACATGCCTTTTTATAAAGAACTTAAGGTCTAGTTCCACAATTTTGGACCACTTTTGACCACATCTAACTGTACATTTAATGCCCTGAAAAAAGCAAAGGCGCAGAAAATGAGGGAACACAATGAAGTGAAAAGTAAAGTTTGATATATATGAAACACAATTTCAATCAAAAAGCAACATATCTAATCTATTGGTATCTCCTGATACAATGTTGTCTGCACTCGCATCTTCGTATAGGGAAGCTTAATATTGAAGTTGCGCCACATCAATTAATTCTGGCTAGACGCAATTTGACCTTGGATTTTATTTGGGTGATAAGCATGCAACGTTTATCGTTCATACTGACAAGTGACAGTACCCATTTATTGCTATCATTACTGCTAGTTACCCTAGGTAATCGCCACTACTCTATTGCTCTTACTTTATACTTTTTAAAGTCTGATTCCAATATAACATATATGCGTCAGCACACTTCCACGATGCATCGCCGATGATTTTCTCCAGCAATCTGGAACCATCAGTGACACTTTGTGATGCGTAAACCCAGGCCTCGTAGGAAGCCATCGCCCCAAAATATGGTAAATACCCAAAATTTGCCTTTAAGATAAATTTTAGCCTATATTTCAAGAAATGATTTAAATAAGGCTTGTTTTAAAGCAAGTTTTATATTTGAACGCTTTTGAGTCTCTTCAGAACCCGCTCGAGAAGTGTGACACATACAACAAAATGGCGCCCTCATATGGAAATAGGCCTAAAACAGCGCTGACAAAACTTTGGTTTGATGACCCACTGAAGTAACTTGAAGATGTCCAACCGCTGAAATACCCATCAGTAAGGTATTTGGTATGTTGTGAACCTAATATTAAATTGCCCGAAAAAATTTCCAGCGTGAATCCCCGTAGCGCCCTGACTAATATGCCAAATAACGATATGCATTTGCATTAACTGTTCCAATAGCGGAGTACAACAACGTCACCGTTACGAGCTCAGTGTTATTTTTCGGACGACGGCCTACTTGAAAACGTCAGCAGAGGTACGTCAACACCAATGAATAACCGACCACTGCTTAGTGTATTAATTCTTTATAAATGTCGTTGTTTGCCTCAGGAAATCCGGGTCTGGACTTTGCACTTTGCCAATCAGTTTTCTTAAACCACTTACACATCTATACTCTACTTTGTGGATTCAAAAATTGATAATACCCTGGAAAAGCTTCTATTTTGGGACCCTCACGGATAAACAAAGTTAAACTGACGCTGAAACAGAAGAAAACGAATTGATAAACCGAAAATGATTAAACAAGGTTGTCTACTACAATTTGCAAATACTTTTTGCAATTATTTTGCATGGCTTAGAAAGATAGACAAATATCGGGACTTTGTTTGAGTCTGTAAATGAATCTGTTAGGCCTAACTCCTTCCAGACATTAACAAAACTGTGTTTAGCGCATAACACTTACTGAAGCAAAATATCGCTGACTCTTGAAGAAACAAAAAAAGATGTTACTTAGTGCATTCTTCCTCGTTAACATAAAGATCATACACTTTTCTGCTGTGTTGAAACAAGAATAACTCTAGTTTTTAAAATGTTTCTCTTAAAAGCAGCAAAAAGTCTGTGTGGATTCGCTTTTTCCAGAAGTAAATAAAACTGGCTTGTTAAAACTTATCAATTTTTTAGACTTTCAGTACATTGCTTTCGTATTTAGTGTCTTGTTTTATAAAAGAAAGTTGTGTGTTTTACTGCCTGATAGAAGCCTAAAAGTTGCAAGACATTTGAAGAGACAATAAATTATGGAAGAAATAACTTGATCTCAACTGCATTGTCTCAATTAACGATGCATCACCGTATTCACCTCATAAGCTTAGTTTTTGAATATGATATGCCTAAATATGGGCCAGTTTTGGTACATAAAACCTTAAACTTACGCCTCAAATGAAATTATAATTTGGATTCGCAGGGAAGAGCTTCTTATTTCATGATTCAGGAAGCAGCAACTTCGCGAATGGTAGAAGAAGATTCAAAAGGTTTACGAGTTTTTAAAAGGAAAATATATACACATTTTTATCAAATTAGTTAGCTAATTCTAGATTTTTCACTGGTCGATTTATTGCTAATAATACTTTGCCAGAAATTATACCTGCTCGAATCTTGCCTTTTATGTTTTAACTTTTTTGTATTGTATTTTGTTTGTCTTGCTAACTTGTTTATCCACTTTCATTCAATATTGCTGATCACTGTAAAGCCTTGGTAAAACGATCTAGCATTTCACCCAACATTTCGCCCAACATGATACCTGGCTAAATATTGGATCGTTTGACTACCATGTTGGGTCATCCAACATCATCATTTTCGTTGATGAGTGGACTGAGGTCAAAAATGTTGGCTGCCGACATCAAACAATTCCATTAGATCGTTTGCCCACCTCAGCCAATATTCTTAGTTCTGCGCACCACTGGCGGCGTCACGGGGTGGACTGGGGTTGTCATTTCCACCCAACCCTTTTTAAAGATCGATTTTCTAATTTTTCTTTCTTAGTTTTCTTTCTTCTGAGATCGGAACTATTTTAGGTAGAGAAGGTGGTGATTGCCTCGTGACCAACAAAGTTGGAATAAACTACAACATACAAGAAAATGTTTTGTTTTTAGGTAACATGCTATTTCCTTATAGTTCACAGTTAGTGGTCTTTACAATGCAACTCATACATTTCAGGTGCCGATACCGCTGACATATTTGTTTCCCCAAATGGAAAAGACACAAGAACCTGTGGTAGTCTCTACCAACCATGCCATTCGTTGATTCACGCAGTAGAGAAACGCGCCCGTTCAGAAGATGTCATAAAAATAGATGGGCAGTTTAAAGTACTGGCCTTGCCACGATCTATCAGACCTATCAATACTGCATTCAGCCGAATACACATAACATCTTATAATGGCCCATTGACAATAATAAGTAAAAGAAAACGGGTATACCACTTCTTCTCCTTCCCTAAAGTATTTAAGCGCAACTCAACCTACAGCATTAAAATTTCAAACTTGAATTTTCACAACATCCATATAATGGATGTGCGTAGTTATCAAACAGACGTTTTTGAAATGCAATGGACGGTAGATAGTTGTCGCTTTACTTTTGATGCAAATGTTATGAAAACATCGTACATAACCATCGGTAAGAATCTTAAGGCATTTCAGTTCACCATGATTCGATGTTATGTAGATGGCGCAAGCATGGCTGAGTTGTTTCTCGTGCGTGTGTCTGTTAGGAACACAACTTTCATTCAGATCACACTCGACAATTCAACATTCGTCAACGTGGCCAATGTTATATACGCGACGGAATTAAACGTCAATAAAGCCGTTACCATCACACAGCTCAATTTCTCAGTAAGGAAATGTGTATTCTATTCTCACAAAAACGTGACGTATAAAAAATCTCTATTTGTGATCTTTGGCTCATTGTATGCTAGAAAACGACCATTAAAGGTCTTGGTTGAGTTTTTGGATTCAAAATTCTTTGGCCGTTCGGTAGACCCTAGTACTTACTATGCGGCGGTATTGTCTGTCGCCGGTTTTGTACACTTCAAAGCAAAAAGGTCTCTGTTTAGGAAGAATTCTAGTGGCTGTGGAGGAGCGTTAAATCTAAAAACGCGACAATGGCGGTTGATCGAGCATTGCGTGTTCGAAGAAAACACTGCCATAGCAAACAGTATTTGTGGCGACACAGAGCTATCAGGCAATGGAGGAGCTATACTTGTCAACGGTAAATTCAGGTATTGTTATACGAAAATCGTCCATACGGTATTTAGAAACAACATTGCATCATGCTACGGTGATTCTGTGTACGCGGTACATATCTACGAAATAATTCTGGAAGATTCTGCAATTATTTTTGACCTGAATGGAAACCTTTTTGCTGGTACGGACGATTTGCTGCAACGCACATTGTGGTACACCGAGAGTACGCGTTTCTCGACAACTAGAACAAATGTCACTGTAATAAGTACTTCAAAAGAGTCGAGAATTGGCTTATTTTTAAGTGCAATACGCATTACAGCTTTCCATGAGATTAATTTCCAGTGTCCACGTGGGTATAACGCAAAAGTAGAGAAGGAAAAATCAGGAAAAATGAAGAAAAGAAGCTTAGATTGTGTAAGGTGTGCTGATAAAACTTACACCGTAGCGCCTTCATACGCTAATATCACCAAGATGCATGGAAAAAGAAACAGAGTTCACATAAATCATTGTCAAAAATGCCCATTCGGGGCAAACTGTGATGATAAGCTGAAAGCTAAACCAAATTTTTGGGGTTTTATATTCAGGAAATCCTTACAGATGATAAGTTGTCCCCCTGGGTACTGTTGTAGGACCACACCTGAATGTAAAACGATTGACTCGTGCAACGGAAAACGAACCGGTGTGTTGTGTGGGGAATGCGTTCACGGCTACACGCTGAGTTTCTTGTCTAATCGTTGTTTACCAAAGAACAGCTGCAGTATTTTAGCTTCTTGGGGAGTTGTTATTGCACTTGCTTTCATTTTTCTGATGGCATTGGCATTCATGCAGGAAATGGTGACGTTAATATTGCGCATTTTTGCAGCTCATGTATCACTGTTTGGTTCTTTCAAAGTTTTCAAAACGCAGCAAAGCATTGTGGGAAGCAGTCATTTGCATGTGACGAAAGAGGGATGCGGAGAAGCAGACGATTTAGGAACAGGAGTTGTATCTGAGGGACTATCATGCAATAGTGATTCTTACATCAAAGAACCTGAGGCTGAGCAAACTTGTTACGGGGAGACTAAAACTGAAAATTCAGGAGCTGTAACGAAGGAGGACTCGGGAATTAAATCAGAACTGAAACAGAGTAACTCGACTTCTGCTGGAATAATCAAAATAGTATTCTTTTATTATCAAATGAATGCTTTGTTGGTGTTATACAAAACCCAATCGAAATCATCTGCCTTTGGGATAGTTCGCAACATTCTGAATGCGTTTTTGAATTTCGATCTGAGCTACTCTGTTATTGACAGAGTATCTTGTCTGCTTCCAGAAATTGGTATTGTTCGCAAAACTATACTAAGATCGGCTTTTCCAGTAACAATTTTGTGCATGGCTGTATTATTATATGCTGTCCTGAATGTGATAGCTTGGGCTTTAAAAAGACGACACTTTATACCTGACATATGCTCAATGAAAGCGCGCCTACTTACAACAATACTCCAAGTAACATTATTGAGTTATTCGAATTTCACTTCAAATACATTGTTACTTCTAACCTGCGTGTCGCTTGCCAATGGCAAAAAAGTACTTTACATCGGAGGCCATTTCGAGTGCTACCAGCCCTGGCAATATCTTTTGTTGTCTTTCTTCATAATTTGGTCAGTGCCTCTGGTTTTTGCATTGTATTTAGCCATTAAAAGATTGGAGACGAATACCTTTTCAGTCAGAGGCTTTTACACGGCACTGCTGTTTCCCTTGCCTTACATCGTTTTCACGGGTGCAAAGGTGAGCTTAATGGCGCTCAGATCTCGCTTTCATGACAACAAACCTGCAAATCGCGATGAAGATATCAGGTACACAGCAATTACTGACATTTCAAATGAGCCTGAGTCTGGCCTAAAAGGTTTAAACCCGTACGTTGTCAAGTTGATGATAAAAAGGGTGCTAGGAGGGGCATATCGTTACAACGGATTCTCTAGATTGGCCTGGGAGCCAATGTTGATCTTACAGAGGCTCATTCTTCTATCACTGCATGCGTTTATCCAAGATCCTGTTAGCAAGTCATTGTCCTTGCTTTTGGCTATATTCATACTAAGTTGCCTTAACATTGCAACTAAACCCTTCCACAGTAATTGTCTAAACGCGTTCAATTATCTTTGCATGTTTTTTCTTTTCACAAATGGTGTGCTGAACTCGTTCAATGCCTACATTTACACTTCCGGGACAGAAGCAGATGGACCATTTGCGGCGATACTGTCAGTGCTGGATATAATTGAAATTTGCATGCAATTGCTGATTCCGTGCGCTGTTTTGGTTGCAGTTTTGATACTTACTCTAACCAGAATCATGTGCTTTGCTATTTGCCTTGTTCGTGTAGCTTGGATGAAACTGAGCATTGTAAAATAAAATAAGTCTTACCGAGCCATCTACGAAATCAGATTGTTTTGTTTTTATTCATAAGTCAATTACAACAAGGCTAAACTCCTCTTTAATTTAAGGCAGGTACTTTTTTAATGACCATCTCTTGAATAAGAAAAAGCGAGTTCGTGTGAATAGGCTTCATGAATAAACAACAAAGAGTGTTCCACAAAGATCTGCTTTGGGCTCCCTCTCTTTTAATGTATCTGTAAAAAATATTTTTTAATTGGTGAAAAAGCTGAAGTTTGTAATTATGCTGATGAAACGGCTATTTTTCTATGCGAATATGAATTAGAGTAGATTTTTCTAGCCTTTGAACCGTTCACAACTTGAATATAAATACTGATTAACGTCACTACCAGAACTGACAGTTACTTGCCTTTGAAATTCAATTTTTTTCTTGGATCTAAAATATGGCATCAAATGCTCTTCTCCTTTATAGGGTCTCTGGTAATAGATAGTTTTAAGAGAAGTAATGTAGGTAATGATTATCATTGTAACTATTTATTACATAAACGATATTTTGAGAATGAAGGGATTCTGTAGTTTTAAACAGACAGGTATCCTCGTAAACTAGATTTTATTTTGTTACCAACATGCATTATATCAACTTGTAGTGTTTTTGTAGTTTTATATTTATTGATATAGTTGTTAGCTCGATTTGTTTCTATGTTGAACATGTATTTAAGTTTTGGTTGTCATAAATTAGCATCAAATAGAACGAGAGGCCAACCTTAAACAAAGAAATCATTTTTTTGCTATTTAATGTTTTAAGACTGTTAAGGTCAAGTGTTTGTAGCACCTAAATAAAGGCTTAAATAAATAGATAAATAGAGTTTTATTCTAATGAAATAGAGGAAGGAGGATATCAGTGTTGAAGGCTAAAGACACATGTGGCCTCTAAGCCTGCTGTATCCTGGGCACTGCATTGTAGATTTTTATAAAAAATCAAAAATACCAAAAAAACTACAACAAGAAAAGTCATCTCTCCTGCGTTGTCTAGCATCCATAACCGTATGGTCTATTATTCCTCACTACGATTATTCCTCAATCAAACACCAAGATCCAATCAATAGCTCTACCAAACACGAACATCTAACAAACAAACTAACATCAACCAAATACTACTCGATCAATGTTAAAAAATATAGTCATACTGTGTAACGCAACGGAAATTTATGCGAGCACAGTTTAACGCGAAGGACGAAGGCTTGACACGGAAGTTCGCAGAGAAAAAAAATAGCGCATAGTCTTGAGCAACGTGAAGTTTTCAGTTCCCATGGATCAACTTTGAGAGTAAATTTGTGTAATAGTGTACTTCCAAATGTGCCTTATGAGAGCAAAACAAACTTCACAAATCCTGAAATTGAGGTTAAACAAAGATGGTATCAGTCAAGTTGTTTTTACTACCTAAAATGGCATTACATATCTTACCACAAAACTTGTAGAATTCTCAGGGCTGCGGAGAGGATTTATGGGCCCCGGGTCAGGACGAAAGATAAATAGAAAGCATTCCTTAGGCAGACGCTTCTAGGGGACAGGGGGAAGGCTCTCCGGGAATTTTTGAAATTGACTGTTGATAAAATTGCTCTGGTGGCTAGTTTGATCGCTAAAATTGCTATGGTGTCTAAACTGCCCTAGAGGGAGGTCAGAGGGGGCAAAATCTCCCCCCCCCCCGCCCCCTGTAGAGCTAAACTGCTATTTTGTCGGAAAACTTCTGGACTTGTCGGATATTTAACACAGTTGTCTATGTTTTTCTTATTGCCATGTTTTGATAGGAATGAATTTAAAGCTACATAAACACAAGAATATCTTAATAAATCAAAAGATTTATTGATTTCAGCTCCAATGTCATTATGTTATGTTAAAATTTATGAAAAAATACAAATATTTGATAGATTTTTGTAGAAAAATCTAAGTTTCTCACCCTTCCTATGAATGTTCCTATCTAGGCCATTGTCTGATGGCTATTACTTCTGTTTGCTAATTGGTATAATTTGAACACAACTGATATCTTAACACCATAATGCATAAAAATGAAAATTTCTTAAAAATTCGAAAAGTCTCAGAAAATGGAAAACGTTTAATTTGTTAACCACATTCGATCACAACCAATTCACTGTTGCAAACAGATACACATGCCATGGTGTAAATCTGTATGATATACATATTGTTGTATGTTGCCCTGTTGCAATAACATTTTTTGTTAATATTCAGAAGCTTTTCAACTTCTTTAGCCCAAGCCCACAAAGATGAGAAATTTTTCAACAAAAATATCTCAAACATTCAGGCAGTCAAAGACTCGAACTGCTTCTACCTTACTTCATTTATAGACTTAGTCACTATTGCCTCTATTGATGACAGTTTGTGATAATGCAGAGGCTGGATTATTACTAAGAAAGCTTTTATAACTGAATTATTATTTATGGGCCCCTATAGCAAAGGGCCCCCGGGTCAGTGACCCCCCTGACTCCCCTCTCCTCAGCACTGAGAATTCTCTAAATACTCAGTATCTGCTAGAATAAATTTTAGTTGCAAGAACAAGTGAAGGACTCCTTAGCCTGGTATAACTTAGGAGTTAGGAAGAATAGCCAAAGGTATAGCCAAAGTTTTTGTTTCTTTCTGTACGGAAACCGTATTTTTTGACATTCATTTTCAATTGCTTCAAAACGAATCCAGGAATAGAATGTAATGAGCATAACGTGAATAACAAGGAAAATGGTTCAGTATGGAAAAACACTTCACTGAAAGAAGCACCATTCAAAATTGTAACGATGCACGAACGGTCCTGCGTCCTTAATTTCCAACATTTACGACGAAGTGTAGATATTAAATCCAGCTATAATGACTGAATGATGACCAAAAGACGATGATATAAAAAAACCACTACATTTTAGACTGTGATGATTCGTGAATAAAGTAAATGATGTACCACGTTTCGTTCGTTCGTGACAATTTAAGAGGACAACTTTTGACAACTTTCAAAATTATACTCTATACAGAAAAGAAGAAGGCCCCTACGTAGGTGCTTATACAGAGGGTGACCAACAAAACAAATTCAACATGTCGTTCAGTTTCAAACTTCAATATTATGTCAGAATATACAGAGTTGATTCGTCGGTTACGAAGCACGGTCTCGCGAATTTGAATATGGCACATTCGACATAATCCATATCGCTGAGAATCAACATGTAAAAAAATGCTGAAAATCAGTCACATCGCTTGATCTTCAAGACTAGGGGGTGGAGGGTCATCAATAGCAAATTTGACCGATAGAGACCTAGATGGAGAAGAACTAAAGTGCTATTTCACCTATTGATAGATGATTTAACCGACAAACTAAGGATTTTGTAGACAAACTGAAGATTTACCTTTAGTTTTTTTAGTTTTTTCAGTTATGGGGGGAATACCTATAGCAGGGGCCTGCCGTCTTTTATAGTTGAAAAAGTATGTGCTTGCAATTTTTATTCATAGATAATTAGAAAGAACTTTTTGAGTCTATTATCTAATGATATAGCCAATTTGAAACATACAATTCTTGAAATTTTCTGTTTGTTGTTTAGAACTTAATATGACATGAGTAGGAAAGTGTGAATCTTTTATATTCAGTTGGTCAAATTGAATTTGTAGAAATGACATTATATATGAATTAAATTTCTTTTCTCTTGATAAAGCAAAATTATTAATCTTTGCCGTGAAAATGTACCCCGAAGGAATCATAAAGGCCTAAAGATACGGGAGAGGGGCGCATTATGCTGACGAATAATTGCAAGTAACGAGTGTGGTTTTGATACAGCATAAAATCTTGAACAATTATATTAAACTAAAATTTGATTGATGTGTATAAATTTGGATTTAAAAATCCAAGCATTTAATTCTACCCTATTTTCGGCATTTTCCTAGAGTTATGCCTAGATTTTTAATAGCAGTTTCTGTAAACCAAGAAAAAAAAGTAACTTGATCACATATTTGTAGAAACAATGTTTGGAGTGGCTAACGAGCGCCAAAAACCTTTAGGAATTGCTCATTAATTATTCCAGATAGTATGAAAATGGCTCTTTTGGATGGTTACGTAGCATGATTCAAAAATTCCTATTTATAATAGAAAAGAGAATTGTGTTACATTTTGTATAACATTGTAAAAAATGCGAAAACGTAAAAATAACCTAACTTAAAGGATTCATCTCACCTAATTTGGCGCCAAATTTTTCTCTTGATACATGCTAGTGTAAATAGACAGTTCATTTAAACCAAGGCTCGGCAACCTTTATAAAACAGGGGGCCAGTCATTTGCCCAAAGATGATTTCTGACATGCATACGAGGGCCGCAACTCAAAATACAGTATAATTCTAAATTCTAATTTATACCAATTCTACGCAACTGCTAATCTTATCAATAAAATTGTATTTGTCGGTAAATGTACTGTAACGTGGAAGCAGTTCGTAAATACAAAGATAGATGTAAAGTACATGTTCACTGTTAAGTATGTTATTTTACAAGAAGCTAATGCGCAACTTGGTGCTGCAGGTCCTTGGCCAACTCTTCTCAATATTTGGCAGAATTGTTTATGTTGACAGCCGCAAGGTGCTGATAGTCATTCGAGATTGCAGTCGACTCTTCGCTTTCTTCATCTTTGAGAAGAGACTTTCGCAAAGGAGAGAAGTACTTCCAAACATGCAACACATCTTCTTGGCATGCTGCACCAGACCTGGATATGAACCATCATCCACCATGGAGATACTCCATATAAAACTGGATGATATGAGTTCCCTTGTATTTCTGTTTCAATTCATTGGTACCCTGCAGCTCGATCAACTCCATTTGAAGATGGAATATGAACCAAGTTCCCTTAATTCAGCTGAGTCTTCCAAAGGTGTTGCATAAGCAGGAACATGACAACATGTTCATACATGACATTCACAAATTGACCATGGTCTTGAAGCTTCTTGTTCAGCTTGTTCGAGTGACTAGTAGTGATAACGAGGAATGCTGATCTAGACAAGAATCTAGGATCACTGAATCCGAGCCGACACTCTTGCATTGGGCCAAATTATTTACAGGTTAACAGGGGCCTTCCGGACCACACAAAAGTACCTTGCGGGCCGCGGGCCGCGGGTTGCCGACCCCTGATTTAAACAATCGCTTATATGCTGTTGCTGTTGTTTTTGTTCGATTATCGATTTTGCTGCATGTCACGTGATGGCTACATACCAGCATTGCATCAGACATCAGATCACACGTTGTACTTTGTGCCGGATTCATGTACATTGCATCAGATATTTTTCTATCGCTTCCCTGATTGGCCAGGAACATGAAATACATTTCTGTTAACCATATTTAGTAAAGACATATTATTTTCCTAATTTTAACCTTTGCCCCTAGTTATTCATATATATATCGTGTAGCGTAGTTTTCAGGGAGACTCGCCGAAAGCTGTAGATTAATAAAGTTGCTGTCGAAATCATTTGCTGTTTTAGACGAGACGTGTCTTCATTCGAGTTCTTCTGCTCAAGGTCGTAAGTTAATTCTACTTACTATTTAGAACTCACGCGTTTATGTTAGATCAAAGTTGTGATTTAACATTTGGTGCCCCCGTGTGTCAGGAAGACGATTGAACAAGAAAACCTTTTGAATGCAATAACTTTTGCAAAATATCTTAGCACGTTAGAAATTATTTTTAGCCGTTTAATGATCAGTTTTCACGTCTTAACGAAGATCAAAGACGTTTTTCTTCAAGTAGAGTGAATTCCTTAGAAAGAGTGAACTTTGTGTATTTGCCTTACAACGAGTAAATTCAGTTTATTATCCTTGCAAAGAGTGAACTTTGTTTATTTGCGTTGCATCATTTGGTTTAAATAGAACGACTTTATCTCCAAGATCTCTTTTTGTGGAAATACAAGATTTTATTAGACTTCCAGTGTGTGCGTACTCGCTGCAATTTCTTTTCTTTGACTGACTCAATTTTGCTGAATCGTATTTTAACGTAGTTAACTTTATTGGTAATCTTTTCGAAATGGCTGAGCAACTCCAGATAACAGTAGACAATTTACAAACGCAATCAAGTGCTGCCAGGCTGCAATAGATGGTAACGAAAATTCTAGTTTGTTTAAACAACCCCCGTTTAATGGCCTCTCAAACGAAGATGTAAACGAGTGGCTGGCAAAATTCGATAGACTTTAAAAATTTTACAGATGGTCAAACGCAAAAAAACTCGGTGCACTTCCGTTAATGTTGAGTGGCCCTGCACTGGCCTGGTTTCAAACATTGACTAATGAAACTGCCAATGATTATCAAGCTTTGATCGAGGCCCTGAAAGACAGGTTTGGAGCCCAAAATTTCGACTTCATTTTAAGACAGGAACTTTATGCCCGTAAGCAAGGACCAAACGAGCCTTTAGCAGTTTACACGGAAGATATGATAAGAAAGTGCCAACGTCTTTCTCTTTCGGACATGGAGATGATGAACTTATTTATCAATGGTCTCAAAAACAAAATTTAAAGTCATGTCATTTTGAACCAGCCTCGAGAAAGGGCCCCGAAAATCAATCATAGGTTTACGAGTATCCCCAAAGTTCTTTGTTGCACCACTTTTTATACTGGCTTAAAACGTTATTAGAATATTGCTTTTAATTCTAAGTGTAAAAGATTTACAAGGAGGATCTACAATCCTTAGTCCAGGTCAGCATCATTTTCACTGGAAATTTAATTCTGACGTAGGATAAAAGAGAAAATCATGACATTGCGAGGGAAATTTATTGTTTTCTAGCTGAAGGACATTTAAAGGGAGGCCTCAGTGATAACAAATGGCGAATGGTATTTAAAGGGGTCACCTTTTTCGATCACTGAGGCTCTGGTACCCAGGGTAGAACTTAATAAAATATCTCTAAGCTATTAAAAAAATCTTGATATGTAATTTTCCAGTCAAAACATAATAGGGGTTGATGTTTCTCCGATCATTGGTTGAGCAGCCAGGTTAATTGATTGTTTGCGCAGCAACCAAGAGGGTAACATCAGTAGTGTTGTATAGTTAACATTACGTCATTGGACGACGAGATTACGAGAGATTGCACCACGACATGCAACTCAAAACAAGTTACGTCATGGTATATTTTGGCCGTCAGGGATTGCACCACGAAGTGCAACTCGAAGAAAAACCTTATGATTGGACAAATAATAACAAGAACCCCTTTTCCTATTGGACGTTTGCTTTGCTGGAACTTTTATTGGATGTTTAGATTTATTGCACCATCTATTGTTTAATCTTATATAAATTTGAGCTTTTAGTTTAGAGATTTAGAGAAGTTGTAATTTAGACGCTAGTTTGACGCTGATGAAGATAAAGATAAAGACCAGTCGCCGTTTCTCTCTCTGACGTTCTCCTGCCGCCGCTAAAGTAAAGATTCAGAAGCAAGGTCGTAAGTTAAAGCCCTGAATTTTATTGGTATTTGTTAAAGTAGTAAGAACTCACGCAATTTCATGTTATACTTAACACTGTCGTTCAACCTCAAGTATAACAGTAGCATAGACATGGCTGACGAAATGTTAATGAATGTTGGGGAAGGGGTGCTATGTTTAGATTGTTCAGGGGTTTAATAAAGGCCACCAACATGGTTTGGAATTCTGGCCGAATTCATGAAAAGTTTCCGAAATATGACATTATAGGGATGGCGAGAAATGCATCTAGAATACTTGCCACATCAAGTTGTCGAAAGGAAGATCCTAGGCAACACATACAAGCTTTCATTTACAATAATTCCCCATCCCCTACTAGTTTTCAATTACCAAAAAACCAAGACCTTATTCTCAAGTGACAAGACCTGCATTTCTGACACATATAAGTTTGAACAAATTTGAAATGCAATTATAAAAATCCTGTCTTGTCTATTGAAGACAGTAAATAAATGTTCTCGGTAAGAAACTTTCAAGAGTAACGAGTCATTCCTTTCTATGTTTAGAAATCAATTCATATCTACATTTCTATGAGCATAAAGCTTGTAATGCATCTAAGTCTTCCAGTTGTATCTCGTTTTTCTTCTTCTTTAGTTTACAATAGGATACATTTAAAACTTATTCATTTTTATGCAGGCCCGTAAACTGGATTGGGGACATGGAAAGAAACATAGCTTTTTCTTTACCTGCCTTACGAAATACTGCGCTTATAAGATCTTCGGACACAATTTTCGCAAATTATTGGGAGGAGACAGTGCCTACGGGCCTGTTCTTTTGCAAAGTTTCGTCAGGGCAAATCTCGCATGGTTTTCGCCATGTCAGCAAATTTTCGGATAAAAAACTAGCACAGTCAGACCACGCCAATTGCCAAAACTTTTACCACGAATTACACCAAAATTTGATGAATCTTTGGTGAATCATTCATATTTTATACTGGAGCAAAAATGTTGTCAGATCTGAGGGAGTTGAGCCCTTCTGCTGTTTTGATCTATACTCTAAAATCTATTTGGTTAGCATCAAAATGTGCCTTCCTAGAAATTGAGTCACAAAAATTGTCATGTTCTTACCATCTTAACTTATGATTTAATGAAAACATCTAAACTAAGGGCCTGAAGAGAACATTTATCAGATTTTGGAACTTCCAGTGAAGTATCGTATTATTGCATTAGGAACAATGAGCCCTGGGCCCAGGATTCTCCTTGTTTCCATGGGGCCCAAAATTTTGGAAAATGTTTTTCAGTACTTAAATACCACAAAGTGATCTTTTTATTCATTCTGTATCCACTAATCTTGAGAGAGTCTTGGTGTTATGGCAACAGAAGAGGGCTCTAACAAACAATACCAGTTTTCATTTAAAGCAAAATTAAGAGAAAATTGCAATAATTTTGGGAGGGCCCACCTAATCAGGGGCGATCGCCCGGTAGCCCGACCGGCCAGTTCGCCCCTGATTAGAGTATAGACTTTGAAACAGAAACAAATAAAAGTAGCTGACAAGAGTATCTGATTTTTGACCACACCTTTAAAGAGTAAGACACGCCCTTTTTTG